TATAAAGCAGCTACTCATTTCAATCCACAATGGTACAAGGCATGGCATGCCTGGGCTTTGGCAAATTTTGAAATTGTTCAGGCTGTTCAGACAGACCCCGGGCACGAGTTACACGATGTGAATGGTGGTAATGTCGTCGTTAATCACGTCGTTCCTGCTGTCCGTGGTTTCTTCAAGTCAATTGCTCTATCGCAAGGAAGCTCTTTGCAAGATACATTGCGTCTTCTCACTCTTTGGTTCGCTCATGGTGGCCATGTAGAAGTCAATCAAGCCGTTACCGAAGGATTTTCTTCTGTTAGCGTTGATACTTGGTTAGAAGTAATTCCCCAACTTATTGCACGCATCAACCAACCAAATGCTCGCGTTCGCGCTTCCATTCACAATCTGCTTGCAGATGTTGGCAGAGCTCACCCGCAAGCACTAGTCTATCCATTGACTGTCGCCATGAAATCCGCCCCTAATACACGTCGTTCACGATCAGCCATGCAAATTATGGATAGTATGCGACAACACAGTCCAAAATTGGTAGACCAAGCAGATCTTGTTAGTAAAGAGTTAATTCGTGTGGCAGTATTATGGCATGAGCAATGGCATGAAGGTCTCGAAGAGGCGTCCAGACTGTATTTTGGCGACCACAACATTGAAGGCATGTTCAACACTCTCGCACCTTTGCACGATATGCTCGATAACGGCCCGGAGACCTTGCGAGAAATCTCCTTCGCTCAAACGTTCGGTCGGGATCTTCAAGAGGCTCGAGAATGGTGCATTACCTACCAAAGAACGAAGGATCTTGGAGATATCAACCAAGCTTGGGATTTGTACTATCAAGTTTTCAGAAGAATTGCACGCCAATTACCGCAACTCAACAATCTTGAGTTGGCTTACGTGTCTCCCAAGCTTCTCAATGCCCATGATCTGGAGTTGGCTGTCCCTGGAACGTATCAAAGTGGGAAGCGTATCATATCGATCGTCAATTTCGATAGCAACTTCAGTGTTATTTCTTCCAAGCAACGTCCAAGGAAGCTTAGCCTTAAGGGAAGTGACGGTGTCGCTTATGTCTTTTGTCTTAAGGGACACGAAGACATTCGACAAGATGAACGTGTCATGCAATTGTTTGGTCTCTGCAATACCTTACTCACCAGCGATTCGGAGTCGTATAAACGTCATCTTAACATACAAAGATATCCTGCCATTCCATTGTCCCAGAATTCCGGTCTCCTTGGTTGGGTGCCTAACAGTGATACTCTACATGTCCTCATTCGGGAGTACAGAGAAAGTAGGAAGATCTTGCTCAACATCGAACACCGTATCATGTTACAAATGGCCCCCGATTACGATAATCTTACCCTCATGCAAAAAGTTGAGGTCTTCGGTTATGCTCTCGATAACACAACTGGTCAAGATCTTTATCGTGTTCTTTGGCTAAAGAGCAAGAGTTCTGAGTCCTGGCTCGAGAGACGTACAAACTATACTAGATCGTTAGGAGTGATGTCTATGGTCGGATACATTCTCGGTCTTGGTGATCGTCATCCTTCGAATTTGATGCTTGATCGAATAACAGGTAACATCGTTCATATCGATTTTGGAGACTGTTTTGAAGTTGCTATGACTCGTGAAAAATACCCCGAACGAGTGCCGTTCAGATTGACTAGGATGTTGACATATGCTATGGAAGTTAGCAATATTGAGGGAAGTTTTAGAATCACATGCGAAAATGTGATGAGAGTATTGAGAGAGAACAAGGAGTCTTTGATGGCAGTTCTTGAGGCTGTAAGTTTGATTCCATTTTCTTTAGAGACACATTGCTGACAAACTAGTTCATCCATGATCCCCTCCTTAATTGGCGTCTGAACGGTGAAGCTTCACCCGTAGGACCTAACTTCCGATCTGAGCGCCGGGAATCTATTATAGCTGCCCAGAACCGTAGACCAACAATGGATGAATTCGTTCAACCTGCAGCGCTAACTGCGGACGCTGGAGATCCTATAGCAGCTCCAGGTGGCCCACCAGCTTCACGTCCTCGTGCAAGAACGAATTCCACAACTCAAGGCCCTCAGGATATGGAGGCACACGAAAACCAGAATACGAGGGCAGTGCAAGTATTGGTGCGTGTCAAGGAGAAGTTGACGGGGCATGACTTCAAACCAGACGAGGAATTACCATATATTCAGCAAGTTGACAAGTTGTTGATTGAGGCGACAAAGTTGGAGAATCTTTGTCAACATTATATTGGTTGGTGTAGTTTCTGGTAATTCTTTGACTGAGGGTGATTGGCGAATGGGAGTAGCACGCAAGATTTACTTGCACATCCAAGTTTTTACATGATGCATGGGTTGGGCGTTTAGGAATGGGAATTCGCGATATATGGTGGGTAAATCTGGACTATAAAGCGAAGTGAAGGAAGGAAGACCTGTGTAATACTCTTGTGCATCTAAATAGCTGGGTTTTAATTCAAATCAGAAGATTGTTAACCGCCTTACACTTTTATATTACGGCAGATTGGAGCACAGGGTGTTGGTAATCAGGGGTTTGAAGCGATTCATAGCTATGTTAGTTGAGAGTTAATGGTCATATTTTTAGGCACATGCTTTCAATCAATCAATATAAACTCGAATAAACTAGTTGAAATTTGATAGTAGTTTGTTGTTGTGAAACTTGATGAAACTTTAAATCATAATGAGCATGAGGTGGGGGATGATGTTTTTTGTTCTTTCAATATTGCTCGTCGTATGTCTGCTCGACAAATTTGATTCGGAAAAAGAGAAAGAACATTGGAGTGTGTTCTCTGTCCGCATAGATATTAGATGGAAGACAACGCATTCATGATTATATTTTTGAATGTGTAGCATTTTGATCTGAAGAGAGCATTTCGAATGCTTATCTGATTATAATTACTGCACTGATGCCATCCTCTCTTCCTCACACGTTTGTCGGAGAAAGACCTCCCCGTCCTCTTATTTAGTTGTCTTGAACCAGAGAAGCAGATTATAGAGGAAGTGAGGTTAGCTGAGTAACCCGTACATTTACATCAAGTATTCACTATTCCCTAATCAATATGGCTCCTAGGCCCAAATAAAAAGAAAACTTGAAAGTTGCCGATCAGGAAATTATATTATTCACACAGGGCATGCAATCATCCATCTTGCATACACAGGACAAACGACAAAGGCTATTATTCAAATTTTGGTTTGCGAGAGATCCCAAATCTTTGACCTGTCACTTTTGTTTACTTGTGGTACTTATAGTAATATTGTTTCTTTATTTCGCATTATTCTTACATTCTCAATTGGAGACCAACTTGATTACAGTTTAGATCTGCCAAATACATCGCTATCTTACCACAGATTCGACTGTGGAGAAGAGACATTTGAATCATATTTAACGATGCCTTTGGTCCCAGATTTCGATCTTTATGAGGCTCTCGAGGTCCCCAAGAATGCATCCGCACAAGACATCACAGCTTCGTACCGTCGACTAGCAAGAGTCCATCATCCGGATAAGAATCTTGAGAATACCAATGCCACTGCCACATTCCAAAAAGTGAGTTAGGGAAATTATACAGGCCGCTCAATGCATCAAATTTATTGCGCTACCGCTCGTGTTTCACTTCTTAAATTTACGTAGCTAACTTGATGTGCACATAGGTACAAGCTGCTTACGAAATACTCTCTGATGAGCGTCAACGCAGAGAATATGACCAGCCAGTTGTTTACGACCTATCTAGTGAATTAGGAGAGCAGTACAACTCACGAGAAAACTATGAAGATGAATGTGATGAGATGGAGGAGTTGATGTTCGACCAGTTTTTCCGCATTTTCTTCACTGGCGCATCACGAAGACCCAACTATGACCGATCTGCTGAGTTCGGGGCCGAAATAGAGCGTAGAGAACGCGAAAATAGATTGAGGAGAGAAGCAGAGGCTGCCTGGGAAGCTAATCAAGCCGCTTCACGACTCGAACGAGCGAGGCGAAACGCTGCCGAAAAGGCCAAACGTGACGCCAAAGTCGAATCAAAGAAAACAACGGAAGATGCTGCAGCTAGTCTGAAAGAGAAGATTGAGATAGAACATAAATTGAAGATGGGACTTATTTTTTCTGCCAACGGTTGTGTCACGGATGCTGAGAAGCAAGTATGCTGCGAGCATTGTTCTTTTTGGCCAAAGGAACAAATGAAGAAAAAGTTCAAGTGTTTGACTTGTGGCCAGAAGAGAGGTATGACACAATATAAATTCCCATACTGCGCCTTGATCCTCTGTCAGTTGTGTCTTGGTGCAAAACGGTTCACAAAGAAATTCTAGAAATCAGGTCATCAACTGAACGAAAGAAACCGCAGATCAGCACGAGTTCTTGTAAGACCCATATCACTCCCCTCTATATCAAGTCATGACATGGAACTAACAATTATTTAGATGTTCTATGCTGTGGTGAAAGTACGACATGTAAAGCATGGGTAGAATAATGGTTGGTAGTTCATGACCGGTCGAAGGCGAAATTTAGTAAAGCTCTAAGAACGTTGAAGTTGCTTCACAATCTTCATAGTCCCAAGTCGGAGAAACGAAATGGGAGAGAAACATCTACTCAAGTCGCAGGAACATTGACACATCTTTGGTCATTACGAAGTGAGGTTTTGATGTTTCCGGTGTTTGCATGATGTTTCAATTTCCAGTTTGATTAAATATTGAATAAGTCAGGTATACCACGTCGAGAAAAAATTATAAACATGGTATCTTATCCCAACCAAGTGAGAATCCCGAGAAAAAATGTATCGCTAGACTATTGACTCTTGATCCAAACTATGAATTGGATTAATCACTGCACTTTCGTGCCGTATTAGTAATTGATATTACAATTTTTGATCATCTTTTATGATTGTCTTGCTCTAGATCTGACATGCTGTCATAGCCCAACTTACTTCTCAAGAATGACCACAAAAGGTGCTAGAACCTCTTTTAAATAGCCATCTGCTCCGAACCATTCACAATTCCCCTCATTTATGTTCCTCACCAAATACGGCCGTGGATTTGCTTCATATCCTTGACATTGATATTTCTCCAGAACATGGTTGAAATGAGAGTGACGAAGTAAAGACAAGTGGCACAGATTAACATCAGCATTTGAGTATCCCCATAGGCTTGATTTATAGCTTTTCTTGTGTCACTTCCTTGTGGATAGCTCGACTGCACTACCAAACTACCATAGATTGATGTGAAGTCGGCTTGAGATGATGCAGGAAGAAGCTCGGCAAGCTTAACAGGGAATATGTCAGTCCAAAGTGCAGCTGCAATGGTGGATCCGATGGCCACACCAACACTGGCAATCATGGCTTCCATAGCAAGAATAGCGGGGATGTGTTGGTGAGAGGAGACAGCCATGACGGTCATCTGTTCGCACATAACCAAGGTTCCACCACCGAAAGCAATAAAAGTTTGACACATTACAATATATCCAATATTGGTATCGGCTGGCGAAACTTAATCAAGAGACCGACAGCGAGAATAGTAATAGGCACACCGAAGTAAAGAGCCAGCCACTTGAGGCGTCCATTAAATCTGATGATAATTCCAACGACTAGTGCTCAAAAGCAAGACCCAATAGTGTAGATGTTTGAGATGTATGTAGCATTCGTAACAGATTGGTTGAATATGACGATAAGTATGGAATAAAAGTATGAGTCCCAGATGTACCAAGCTGATTGATGTCAGAATCTTGCCAAATTGTTGCTTCTTGTGAAGGTCTCCAATAATCGGGGCTATTGAACATCTTGACTTTAGGAATCAAGTTGGGGACAAAGAAAGGAACATACCGCAGTAAAGACTAGCAACCATTGTATAGGTGAAGAATACTGTTCGATCCTTCATCAAACCCCAAGGAATGAAGGTCACTGGTGCAAGGTACATTTCGTACAAAGCAAATGCAACGATCAATAGACCACCAAAGATGAAGAAGAAAATGACTAACGGGGATTTCCACTCGCCCTTCTGATAGCTGTACAAGCTGAATGTTAGAAGAAACAGAGCAAGGCCAGCTGCAATAAGCAATAGACCAATGACATCGGACTCCCTGCAGTGATAGATAAATGATTCAGTCCACGTTCGTCCGCTGTCAATCTTTTGAATCAATCCTTGCTTTTCGGCTTTCTTCTGATGATAGTAGAAAAGTCCGAACAAAGGTATACAGATAATCTGGAAAATGATGGCCCATATACCAAAACCCCATCTAAAACCTATCGTTTTTAAAACATTTTTAGCAGCAGGTCCATATGCCCAGACTGTAGCAATCCAAGGTGAAGAAGAGAATGCAATCCACCCGGCTCGGTTCTTTAGTTGGGTTGTATCAGCGATGAAGATAGTAAGCGTGAAGTTAATTCCATTGTAACCAACATAGTAGAAAACTTGAGCTGCGCAGTATGTTTTAACATCATCACATCTGGCCATCATAAACATACCAAGAGTAAATGAAGCGACCATGACACAAAAAGCTTGAGGACGACCCCAAATATCCATGAGTTTCGCATATGGTAGTTTATGAGACTAGCTATGAGACTCGAGATGATGGAAGTTGTTGCCGTGAGGGAGTGGGCCTGGAAAGAAGAATTTACATAGGGTATAAGTGTGCTGGTCAATCCGGACGCGAATGTCAAGAGGAATTCAATAATCCAGATCCTAGATTAAGAACTGTCAGTTAAAGACTCGACGAAAAGAATTTTATAATCAGGGCCATACTAACAGAATATAGGCCAGAATTAAATGATTTCTAGTCCATACTTGGTTGATGGCTTCGGCAGCTTGCACTCCATGCTGAAACTTTTTGTTGATGACCTCGCTGTCATTTTGCTAGAGAACATTGGCTGTGGTTGTAGGCGTTTTTTCTTCGTCTATGGATGAGGGGTGGGCCGTATTTTCCGCAATTGGTAGCTCATTCGGAGCGAGATTATTGAATCGAAACTTCATTTTGCAATCGCCTGTTTGTTTAGAAACCAATGATTCAAAACTGAAAGATAATGGAAAATGCAGCGATCGAAGAACAATAGAATAGAGGGACTGGAAGGGTATTCATTCCCAAGATCTTGAGAAATTGCGATGTAGACAATGCTCTAGATCATAATAGTGGAAAGAAAGAATTTGAGCGCCAAGGAACACTCAACATTGATTTTCCGCATATTTCACCGTTCTTGTGCAGCTTTAGGCCGGTTAAGACGGAAAGTTTCCTACTATGCATATGAGCATCTTAGATAAAAATCGATGATATGTCCCGGTAATTGTCCCCAATAGGTGTCAACATCGAGCTGCATGCAGTTCGACAAGCAAGCTAAATTTGGAGATCGAAGTACTTCCACATGCTCAATCTGATGGAGCGAGTGGATCCAAACAAATTAGCGGCCGGCTTTATCTCCATTCTGATCTTATCAGATCATCAAATCGTGTGACTAGTAGTTTCGTATGACTAAAGCTCTTTGGTGACAAATTGAATGGTCCGTTGGTTTGGAATTCATTCAAAGATAACAAAACCGAGTATCCTCAACGCACCGAGCCCTATAGAACAAAGAAGTAGGCCACTAACCCTACAGCCGACATGACTTCTATCTTCAAAATCTGAGAAGAATGTTGGATGGGAAACGTTGAGTGAGGACAAGCAGGACATTGTCGTGCAACGGATGTTAAAAGATGGATTATTAAAGTGAAGAATTAACTCAATCTCAGATGTGGCATTTAACTTTGCGTGGCTAGACCATTGACAGCCTCATCTGCCCCTCTGGAGTTAAAACCCCTCCCCAATATTGAGCATAGAGTTGAAAATTGGATAGAGTGGCAAGATATTACAAGCTTGAGAAATAATCTGTATATCAGAATTACACTCAAACGACCAAGAATTGGTCCAAGGCACAACCTCCAGAATGGTCTAAATAAGCTCACCAGTAAGATCTCTCAAACATCTCCATTCCATTACCATATTACTTAGTCTAGCGGCACCAAACAATAACTCAATCCTATCTCCGCAATGAATCCATCATGATGGCATGAGAAACAACCGACTCCAACCATGAGCATTGAATATCACATATACCTCTACATATATTTGAATCCCAGGGACTCATACTTCAGTCCTCACTTGAAATTACCTGCCCTTTCCTCTTAGGCAACATCCAAATTTCGTACATCCTACACTATCTCATCTCGTCTTATCAATCACATCTACTTAGATGCTCATTTGTGTCCCTTCATGAGTTGTACCAACAGTAGTGCTCAACATAACCCACTCTTATCAGTTATCAGATGGGATACCACAAATTTCAAGGTGGGGGCTTTGTCAAGCACTTCACCACAACTGGGTTTCGGGCCCGAAGGACTGCACTTTCGCACGGTTTGACCCTCCGAAACTAAAGTTCTCACCTAATGACCGGGTATCAAATCTTCTCCCGACGGATACATCCAGGTGATAGTTGAGTTCTTCCGGTGAGATTGATGTGATAAAATACCCAATTTGACGTAAAAACGGCCTTTTAGTTCCCTTCCCCTTCGCATACGGTTAGATTAAGGTTAACGCAAGCATTCTAGCATGTACTGTTTACTAGGTAGTCAGGTGTATAACAAAAAAGTGTTATCTGATCTGATCTGATCTAATCTAATCAGACCCCAACTGGTGCTAACTATTTTGCGCAAAATCACGAATGAATATTAGTATCACTGACCACGGTATTCGCCATGACGGTACTCATGATCCAAAACTAATAAATTTTGCTGAGACGGAGTCAGTGCTAATGATGTTTTCTCAGTCCAGCTTTTCCAAATGAAACAGGAGGTTTCTCAGAGCTTGAGACATAGTCGATAGTTTTGAGCACCATCAGATTTCAAATAGTCCCAACAAACCTCTCGAGCAGCTCTATAACTGTTGCACTTCAAGCCAGATGAAAGCCATCAAAATTCTCAAGTGAAAATGTATTAGTCGAAGCTGGAACAAACTTTGAGAGATGGTCATTACCATTAAATTGAAGACAAGAGGCTTCGAACGAAATAATCTGGCCAATGAACGATGAACTGAACTCTTTTGTTTAAACTGCTCACGCAATTCATGACTTCTTATTCAATTCTGGGAAGACAAACAGTCATTCTTTTCACAAAACTCCAAATCATGATCCACGGGGCTCAATATTTCAAATGGTTTTGCCAAAATGACATGGTAAGCATACCGATCAAGCGTTGTTCTAATAAGCCATTGTTTATCCGTGCTCGAGCTATGCTACAAACATAGTAAGCTTTACCTCGGCACGTGCTCGTCAACCTCAAATACCTAGCCATCACCAAATTCCACTCCTCATAGCAACTGCGTCTCCGTATTTCAATTTCTCTTGACCAATCATGTATCCACCCCTTCGTATATTGCTTCCTGGTAAAGGAGCTCTATTAGGCCCTGTGATCAAGGACAAAACTACGAACGTATCAAAATGCTATCGCTTTTCAAGAGTACCATATGCTCTACCACCAACAGGTAAAAGACGATGGCGAAAGCCGCTTCCACTCCCTTCAACCTTTTCATATGGTTCCGAAAATAATCCGCAAACTTACAATAAGCCGTCTATTCCATGCCCGCAATCTCCACTACTCGTATCACCAGGCAGCTCGAGCGAGGATTGTTTACAGTGTAACATCTACATCCCACTTGGTGAACCGCCATCAGGTGGCTGGCCAGTGTTCTTCTACATTCGTAGGTGTCTTCTTCATGACTATCCCAGAATCTATGACTAAGAAATTCAGATGGTGGTTTCCTTCAATACGGCTCGAATAACTCAGATGACCCTTCTTCGTTATTGGCCGAGACAGATGTGAAATGTATTATTGTATGTCCCAATTATAGACTTGGAGTTTTTGGATTTCTAGCTGGTAGAGAACTCTGGGACGATACTTCGGCCGGGAACTTAGGCCTCTGGGATCAACGAGCCGCTCTTGAATGGACATATGAAAACATCGGGTTCTTTGGCGGCAATAATGAGAATATCACAGTCGGTGGTTTATCAGCTGGATCTTATTCCACCTTTCATCAACTAGCGTACGATATCGGTCCAAATTCCAAACGCCAAATCATTCGAAGGATTATTCAATGGTCAAATGGATGTGGAGTTGAGCCCAAACGAATTTCTGAGGCTCAAGAACAATTTGATGATTTACTTTCTGTTTTGGGAGTATCTCGGTCTTTGAGCGCAAAGCAGACTGTGGAAGTTCTTCGAAGTAAAAGCTCTGATGAATTGATAGTTGCCGTTGGAAAAATGAAGCAGATTTTCATTCGTCCGGTTCTCGATGGCGAGTTCATTTCGAAGGATTTGTTCACTAGAATCTTTGATGGCTCGTTTGGAAAACGATTCAAAGAACTTGGCATCAAAACCATCATTGGGGATCTTACAAAAGAACATCAGCTCTATAAAAACGTGTTCCCGCCGCATTCGTATGAAAGATTGATTGACCGTCTGTCATGGGATTACCCACGAAGTATCGCCAAGGCCGTTTGCGCTAAATACAAACCGGACCACACTTCTCCAAGCTACCCTAAGGAGTATTGGATTGAAATTTTTGGTAAATTGTATGCTGAAATGCAGATACATTCCACTATGCGCGGCTTCCTCGTCGCAATATCTTCTGATGTCCCAATCCAGAGTATCAACCGATACAGAATTGATTGGAGAACAGAAAGTGTGGACAAAAGGTTGCCTAAAGTTGTTGGAGCCACTCACGGGACGGACATGTCAATATGGTTTTTTGGGAACGGGGATGTCTTGAATGACAATGAGAAGGTTCTATTGAGAAACTGGTTGAAGCCGATGGCTGATTTCATACAAGGTAATGACTTCATTTGGGGTACACGGTCAATCAAGGAAGTGAAATTTCTTACTTCAGATGGGAATATTCAAATCAGGAATGACGATATATTTCAAGAAAGTCTAGAATTGTGGAATCTTTCGAAGGAGGTTATTGAATCTCGGAATCAAAGTAAACAATCTAAAATATGAGATTTCAGATTCTTCTCGTTGAAATTACTCTAGTCATCGAGGTGATTTTACTCAATTGGTCCTATGTATTGTAGCTTTACAAGCGGTACCTGATTTCAATCAGAGCATCAGCTATCTTCGAGTGGTTTCAGAGTCAAGAAAGTAGTACCTTGTACCATTCAGATTTATAACCGTCAGACACTGAGAGAAAACATGGTAGAATATAGAGTGCTCGAGGATAAAGCACTCGAAAGTATAAAGTCGAAGTAATGTTTGGGTATCACAAAAGCTAAGCATTCATATATAGCGTGCAAAGTTGTGTCCTTAAAATGTATCGCGAGAAGAGCTCAAGTAAGGGAAGTTTCTATCGCAGGGCTTCTCCTGGCTGGATCATGAGAAAAACTCACTGTGGTTACCAGAACACGAAAGATTACGACATCTAGGCATACGGGTCCCTGGTAAAACTTGTAAATATGAAAGCCCTAATTCACGCATATTTTGTGAATAGATGGTAACGTTTTAGACACGAGATGATACCCTCAAGACCAATCGATAAGCAGAGAGAGAACAGCATCCAAATTTCGCACTAAATAAACTAATCTTACAATCATCTAGAATTTCCAGCTTCTTGAGATATTGCCTGGTGTAAAATTGAGCGCTTTCCTCAAATCTCAACCTCTATTATTTCCACACAACAATCAGAAAGCTCTATACCATCTTTCAGGACCTGTTACCTATCTAGAATTTATTGCTCGGAGCAGCTGTACTCTACTCATTCCTTCTTAGGATTCCCTAAGTTTTGTTTCGGGCAGTCTCACATGCTCTTCCAGTATTTACAATCTTCATAAGTTTTTGTTCCATCTAGCAACAGTAAATTATCCGCTGCGGCACACAAGGCATACTATTCACAGCTTCCATCGAATAATACACGATGAATATCACCAATCATGAAGGCAGAGCTGTACCTTTGGCACCAGTTCATACAGTTGTCATCTGTCCAACAGCGGACTACAAGGCCCCAAACTATATCTGCTATGATCATGTTTGTCAATACTGTCCCAAGGGAGACCAAGGAGCTCAAGTCCTTTACTATTTACAAGAAGCCGTTGATCCACATCAGAGTGGCCACGATCACAGGTATCAGGTGTATGCTACCAATGAGCATGAAATGCCTCCTCAGCATTCTAAAGCTAAAATCTGTCACTTTTGGTGTCAACATGAGGTCAGTCCGACATCTCATTATTGCTGTATTCCTAAAAATACTGATCGAATTCATTAGATCGACAGAAGTCCTTTGATCCAGCGTACCTGGTATTATGTTCCATGGAGTGACCCCATTCCTGGCGTTCTTCAAGACGATGGAAACATGACTTTCACCGATCCCGTCTCCGGCCATACCATAATCGATAGTTCTCCTGTCCTTGCTGGATTCAGGCCCTACCGCGAAGGAGACACTCCATTCGACACAGACTGTCAAAAAATACCCTCCTCTCCATCATTTCAACTTGGAACCAAAGTTGCCACTCCCAATCTTGATATTGGTTCGTCGCGATCCAGATCATCTGAATCCTGTGACATTGTTGTAACTCCTCGGAGCGAATACAGTATCCCAGGAACACATAGATTGCCTACTAATCGTCAGATACCAGCGGAACCAATCAGTCAGACTGAGATTGAGCAGCTCCATCGTGGTGGAACTGCCTTTGTGTCGCAGTTGACGGGAAGTGAACGAACTCCAAATAGAGCTGTCTACGGAAGACGAGGTGGAGAAGGAGGAAGATGTACAGAAGTAGCAGTCTCTCGCGTGATCACTGGTGGGGTTGGTCGTGGCAACGGCATTGGAAATAACAACACAAACCCGCCAAACGGCCCCAGAGGTGGAGGAAATGGTTGGGGCTACGGTCGCGGTCGAAGAGGACGTCCTACTAGACTTTGGAATTGGCATAATTGATTTTGTTGATGAGTAATGGAATGGTATTAAGGCTTGTTGTTTAGTGTCTGCTTCTCTTTATTGTGGCTAGCTATAGTATCTGGGAATTTTTACTCATAATGCAAGCTCTCTCATATTCTTGTTATTCTCAAATATCATTGTGGCCCACGGTATGATAATGACCCTCTATTTTACTTTTTGGCAATTAATTCATGGTCGGATGGAAGATGTCCAGAAGAGCTAGATCGTACATCACTGGTAGATCCAGGATTCTATGATCTTTTAGAAAGCTCAATAGCTAAAGAGTTGTAGGATGAGTTATTTGAAAATAAATACATCTAATCTAGTTCTCAGTGAATATTTGACTAGACAATCAGACAAGTTTTTACATCGGCACTGTTTCTCAACTTCGCGGATTTAAAGTTATATCCGGCGCTTACTCTCCCCGTACCCGAAGAATGGGGAAAGGATATTTATACCATCTCGTTGACTACCACATCTTGCTTCTCTCCACTAGCGACTGCACATAAAGTCGCCCGAGTCGCCATGCCCTTTCCGAGCCGTGGATGTCATACATGCAAGAAGCGACGTGTAAAGGCAGGTCTTAAAGATATCTCATTATCATTCATTGGTCTGGAGACTTACAAAAATAACATAGTGCGATGAGATAAAGCCATCCTGCAATCGTTGTTCAAGAGCAAGAATCAGTTGTCAGGGCTATAGTGGTATTGAAAGATATGAGTTCTTGAACGAAAACGAGGCAGCGAGTGGTAAGATAAAACGACCCCGAGGTCCCAACCTGCGACGGTCAATACAACTACGTTCATCATTTCAATCTCCCGCACCGGAAGAACAGAAAAGACATGTCAATAGGACGATAGATGAAGCCAATTTGATCGAACTTTCAAGCATTCTACATGTCACTGTTCTCTTCTCATCGCCGCGACCTCCTCCCACAACACCCCTACAAGAACAAGTTATTGCCTACTATACAAGACAGTTTGTCGAGGCACCCGAAAAAATGTTTAATAACCATAATAGCCGTATTGACTGCTGTGTCGATTCTTTCGAGCACTCCTCAATTTTCAGCCTTGCATCATCAACAATTCGCCGGCATCCTTCTTGGCCTATTACATCACCGGAACGAGCATATCATACCAGATCTACCCGCTCCACATTACAACTCGCTATTCTTGCGATTGCCCACACGACTTTCGGGCGATCAACAAAGAATGTTGCTGCTTTAACGATTGGGAGTAAGATATACTCCCAAGCCCTAGCGGCGACGAACCTAGCGCTGAGAAGCTCAGAGAGAGTCGTGATGGATGGAATCATTCTTACCGTTCTGCTTTTAAGTCATTTTGAGAATTCGATGACCCAAAAAGCCCAATTCATCACCGAGGACATCAAAATTATAGCTGCGAAGGCTTTTAACCACCATGATGGCGCGATCGCAATTTTAAATTTACGACTGCAACGTCAGCAGGAGCAATATCGACCGCTCTGTTCAATTCTTCCAACCCATACGAGCAACTCCAGCACCTCTCATGAGAACGCTGGATCGGAATTAGACAAGATTACAAGACGACACTTGGTTCGTTCGCTCTTGCTCAGGAGCATGCCGATACCAAGTTGGTTGAAGAATGGAAGTATCTTTGGGGAGATAGGCTCAAGTTTAGTTCTTGATCAGTGTTTGATTGAAGTTGCCGATTTGAGATATTGTGTGAACCACATTTCTATTGGTCTTGACGATATTCCTGCAAGTGAAAGTGGGCGGATTGCTACAAAGATGCGCGGCGTATTGGTACTAGCACAAGAGTTAGAGATGAAATTGGTCAAATGGGCTAAGGAGATACCGATGGTGGATTATTGGAGTACTTTCCAAGTAAGAGATGATGATGATGACGAGCCGGGCGCAAATGATATATTTGATCAAACAGTTCATCTATATCCCTCGATTAGCCATGCTGCAATGTGGGCTCAATATCGTGCTATCCGTCTTCACGTAAATGAAATCATACTGAAAGTCTTTCACCGCGAAATAGAGTCTTCAAATCCTGACACCAAGTTCTATAAAGATATCGTTAGACTGAATATGGAGAAACTAGCTCTGGACTTCTGCGCGAGTCTACCGTTTGTTCTGGGATGGGTTGAACTTGGAGAGATAGGTATGAAAATGATACGCAAGGGACGAAGGAATGCAGTTAGAGCTAGCACGGCTAGTTTGTTTTGCTGGCCATTGACTGTCTCAACAATGATTTCTGAGATTCCAGATCAACATAGAACCTATCTGAAGAGCCGTTTACGAGATATAAGTGAACTTGTCGATGATGGGGTTTTGGAGACAATTGCTCATTTATGATCGATGTGTGTTAGACTTTGAAAATTAAAACTGGGGTCTAATGAAGATTGGCACTGGAAAAGAACTGTCCGTTTTCTCCTTGTAGTCACAAATGCAAAAGACAAGACAAATCCAAAAATCAATTCTATTACTCTTCTTAGGAAGATCGAGGCGTCGACTGTATCTCCGCGTCGGGGTTTCTGGCCGCTACAGCTGTATTCATCCGGGCAACTTTATATGTAGACTAATGGCAAAAAATAAAGTGAAGCTTTAAACGCCAATTTCGGTGCCCTGGGCTGACGTCATATTCACCATCCTACCATGCAAACTGCTTTGTGGCTTTAAGAAGTCGCAGGTTATCTCGTTTTCATGACCAAGAAATTGGACATATTGACCTACAAATACGCGAGGTGAGCAACTAAGTTTCGGACTCATCAAAGGAGATTTTATGCCCTTGCACAGCTCTTGCCGTTTTTCTCCTTAAATTACTGAGTGAACCTCTATTGTGCAGTTTTTCATTCCGGTGCACTTGTACATCAAACCTTCGGATTGGTAAGTCAAAGTACCAGTTAGCAAACTTGCTAAGAGAACTTGTTTATACTTGTCTCTAGCAATCAAATCCGGCCTGCCGCGCAAAATCTTGAACACAGACTACACTGCGGATGTTCTTCCGCTGTGTTAATAAAGGAGTGTGACCTACTTTGATGTTATTCGTCATTTTTTCCATTACACAGCATGCAGTAAGCTGAAAAGCGGGGAATTTGACATTAAGCCGATGTAAGGGACTTCTTTTTTCAACCCTTGACACAAAACCACCAGATTTCTAAGCAATATCGAAAATCATAGTGATAGAAATGTTGACCCTGCATCTAATGACGTGATTCATCCATAAGACTCATCTCGAAACCCGGAGTACATGAAGCTGCCACTGCCACTGCCACTAAACGCATCGATCAAGGAGTAACATCTGAGCAAAGTTTCACGTATTTCTACAAAGTAACATCAATATCTTCTGTCTACTGGATTCGTACCGATTCTCTACAATTATTCAGAAACACTTACAGCCATGGCTCATCCCGAGATTAAATTCTATTGGGCGCCTGGCGCTTGCTCTTTATGCCCTCATGTTCTTCTGTTCGAAACCGGAGTTTCTTTTGAATCAATCGCCAACTTAATCACAAAAGAAACGGTAGAATTTACTCCAAACTTCTCGTCCATAAATCCCAAGATGCGTGTTCCCGTTCTCTCACTTGAGGGTGAAATCATTACAGAGGTTCCTGCTATTGCAACAGCGATATCTTCATTTGCTCCGGAACTGCATCTTTTAGGGCGTACAACAATGGAAACGATAAGAGTGTATGAATGGATGAATTGGCTTAGCGGAACATTGCATGCTCATGCATTCGGTGGCTTATTAAGACCGGAGAGAATGAGTGATGAAAAAGCAGCGTTGCCGGGTATTGAGAAAAAGAGTATGGGAAATGTCCAGAATTGTTTTGATATGATTGAGGGAAAGTTGAATGGCCTGTACGCAGTTGGAAATGCATTCACAGTCGTTGATTCGTATCTTTTCGTTTTTCATCGTTGGGGAGGAGGACATGGCTTGGATATGAAGAGAGCGTATCCAAAATACACAGCGCTTGTGGATAATCTGGTGAATCGTCCTTCTGTTCAGAAGGTTCTGGAGCTCGAAAAGTCGCAGGCCGATTCTTAGACGTCCAAATCTTCCTAGGTATTTGTGCCGACACTCTTGATTGTTCAACTGCTTTCGGCACCAAGGGATGATAGCATCTGCCACTGTCTTTTCATCTTCAACGGGCGCGGAAAATGATCTGAAGGTCAGAATGTTCAGTGTTCCATTCGGGTGCCCGGAGTCTTTGTATTGTGTGAGATCCGCATTTCACACTCTTTATTTCCTGTGTATCGTCCCATTCATATATGCAATTTTCACTCGCCAACTAATGCCATGTTGTCGCTCGCTGATCGTTGGCCATTCGCCATGGATCGCACGCGTTGGTCCAAGATTTATTTAGAAAAACTAGCCCATCTACAAGCTTAAAGATGTTGAGGCTTTAGAGTAGAAAACGACGCAGTTAATTTGCGCAATATGGGCAACTAATTATCTTCGATATCGTATAGTAATTTGTGAATAGAAGACGTGATTGAGGAATATATTGCGCGTTGTGCGATTGCTTTGATGAGCGATCCGAATTTTGTCTTTACCTACCTACATAGTAGGTTTTTCAAGGTTGCTGAAGATTGCCGCAAAAGGGAATTCAACAGATTATGTAAGCGGGGGTGAACTGGTGAACTGACCGTCTATCTTCCGAGGTTACTTCCCTTCGTCAGATCAGCATCCACAACAAGTCAATGTAACAACAAATTCGATATTATCCGACCATAAAATATCAGTATGACTATAAAAGTCCTCATCGTCGGTGCTGGCGCAGTTGGTGCATTCTACGGATCTCGAATCGCTCAGGTTCAAGGCACTCAAGTCTCCGTTATATGTCGATCAAATTACAAAGCAGTCACCGCTAATGGGTTCAATGTCACCTCACCAAAATTTGGAGAATACAAATTCATTCCACATCAAACCTTTGCGAACCCACAAGAAGCTCGAGGTTCGAATGAAGACTGGGATTTTATTGTCGTAAGCACAAAGGCCCTTCCAGATGTGAATGATGATTCCGAGATTCTTGAAGGCCTCGTGAAGAAAGGTCACACATCTATCGTCTTGGTCCAAAATGGTCTTGGTGTGGAAGAACCATATTCAAAAAGGTTCCCAGGGTCCACGATATTAAGTGCTGTCACTATTGTGAGCGCCGAACAGACTTCTCCAGGTCTCATCAAGCATAATAGATGGACACGAATAAGCATTGGCCCATATTTACCCGATGTCGTTGAATCGACGAAGTTGAATGATGATCAAAACACCGCTGTTCAACGGAACAATACGTTTGTGAGGTTATTACAAACAGGCGGCATCTCGGATGCCCAGGAGTACTCACATTGGAAACTTCAAATGGTGAGATGGCATAAAATTGCCATTAATGCGAGTATGAATCCTTCTGCTGTGCTTTCATCTGGGAGCACAAATAATGATATGTCGCTCGATCCAGAGCTTTACATTCATTTGAAAGGTGTCATGGACGAAGTTTTAGAAACAGCCCCAAAGATATTGGGGACTAAGCTACCACAAGAATTTGCAACTTCTGAACAGTTGTTGAAAAGTACACAGAAGAATACTAGTGGAAGTAAGCCAAGCATGTTATTGGATTGGGAGCAGGGGAAGACAATGGAGCTTGAAGTCATTTTGGGAAATCCAATCCGAATTGCCAGAAGTCATGGACTAGAAATGCCAAGGCTACAAACATTGTATGCTTTATTGAGGAAAGCTCAAGAAAATAGGACAAAGGGGAAAGTTAGTAGTAAACTTTGAATATCATACTAGGACCTGTAGATTTTCAAATGTATCTGGAAATAAGAAAACTTCATTTCGGTTCATAGTCTTAAGGAATCAGGAATTTAATGAACTAAACTTCGTAATTGAGTTAAAAGTCACATGTATAGTAATGGGTTCAATTGTATATCATAAGATGAGTTGTAGGTCTTTTAAGACTAGAATAAAGCTTTTCACAAAGAATACTATTTAAGTAAATTATTTAAACTCGCTTTCTAATTCTCTGAATTTTATAATAATTAAGACTGATGTGTCTTGAATTGTTGGATTGATTTAGTAAAGGAGTGTAACGTGGTTTATCAGTGAGTGGGTTATATTAATAAATGAGTTATTTCGAAAACTATCTAAATCAAGCTTTTTAAAATATTAATATTTTTTTGAATAAAAGATCTTAAAAAATAACTAAAATATAGATTTTCTATTAATCTAATTTTTATAAAATAATTTCATCATTTTCTAAAAAAAAAGGAAATTGTTACGATTTTTATTATAAAAAAGCTATTTTTATAATAACAATTTTATAAATTCAAATTTCTTAAAACTAATTAAATTTTTAAAATTATTTTATATTCAAATATTTTATATCAGATTTTCAGAGAATTATATTTATAAATAAAGAAAGTGTATAATTATATATAAACGAATTTTGTATATAAAATAAATGATCTATTCACTAATATAACCTGCTCACTAATAAACCATGTTATATATATAAAATATATAGGATTAAATAATATTGAAATTCATATCTTCTTCATATGAAGAAGGTATTACTAAGCTATATATATGATCTACTTGAATTAGTTTATTTAAAACTATAGTATAGAAACATTAACGTGGTTTATTAGCATATGGCTCATATTAGCATATGGTTCACTTTCACCTCAATTTACACTTTCAAACTTATATTATTCAACAATAATCAACTCAATTAATTAAAACTATTAAAAATCTAATAATGTAGGATCTATTATATTATTCTAATAAATTCTTATATTATATCCTATTTTTCTATATTTATTATAATATTTATTAAAAAATACTTTTTTATTAGAATTCCTTTTTTTTTAATATTTATTATATTGAATCTAAATATTAATTTTTTATTAAAATACTATATTAAGAATCTTTTATTTAATAAATATTTCTTTTTAATATAATTAAGTTCTTTTTATATATTAATATTTATTTAATATTTTATTTATTTTTCAAAATATATAAATCTTTATATTCAAAAGTATATTTTTATAAGCTAATTTTTTTATACTTTTAATTAGAATTAATATAATTTCAAATATAAATATAAAGAAACTTGATTAATAATAAATTATTCGAGATTTAATTAATATTAATTAAAAAAAAAGCTTTAATTAAATTATAATAAATTTAAAAACTTCTTAATTTAAATCAAAAAAAGAGAAGATAAATATATAAATTCGAATATCTAATTTTGAGAATATAGTTTTAGAATTAAATAATATTAAATCTATTCCTTGGAATTCTGATTTTATATTTTAAAAAATAATTGATTTTTTATATACAATTTTAAAAACTATAAAGAATTCAATTTTTGAAATATAATAAATATATATTTTAATAAATTCATTAATTTGATTATTATATAAATATTTTAAATTACTAAAACAATCAATACTAAATGATTGAATTAAATAACTTGAATATAATAATAAATATAAATATAACGTGATTTATCATCGAATAGACTATATCATCGAGTGGGCTATTATTTTTATATACAAAATTCATTTATATATAACCATACACTTTCTTTATTTATTAATAGAATTTTTTAAAAATTAAAACTATGAAATTTAATTATATAAATACTATAAAAATCTCATTATTTATTAGAAATTCAAATTAATATAAGAATTATTATTAGGAATATTTTTTTGTAATGAAAATCGTAACAATTTTCACTTTTTTTAATATAAAATGAAAATATTAATATAAAAACTAGATTTTTAGAAAACTAATCTTTTATTATTATTTAATCTTTTTTTCTTTTTCTAAAATAATAATTAGTTATTAAAATACAAATATTCAAAAAGTCTTAATTTTGGTATATTTTGAAGTGACCTACTCAATGATATAATCTATTCGATGATAAATCACGTTATAATATTATTCTTTTTATAGTATACCTAAAAAACTATTAATTTCTAATTTTTATATCTATTTAATACTAATATTTGATATTTATCTTTTCTTCAACTTTTAATATATTTATTGAAATATTTCAATTATTTTAAATCTATTTTATTATTTGTTCATTTATTAAATATAGATTTAATAATTTAGTTTATAGAAAAATCGATTTTAATATATTAATTAAAGAAATAAATCTATTCTAAAATTATTAGAAATAAAAGAATAATTTTATCCTCCTTATTTCCATATATTATTGTTATAGCTTATTTTTGATTATTTAACTATATTGATTTACTTTTGTTATATCTTCTAGTATTAATAATAATAATTATTATATATATAATCCTTATTATAAAATCTATTTTATCAAAATTATAAAAATCATTATCCAAAATATTATATTTTGCTTATATATTTGCAATTAATTAAAACTATTCTTTAATAAATTTAAAATCTTTATAAAAAGTTTTTTAAAAATTATAAATATAATTAAAATATGTTTTTAATTTGATTTAATATTTTACAAATTAATATATCTAAAGCTTTTCAATATTCTTTATATTTCTTAATTTGAGAATATAATTTGCTATATTTTCTATATTTCTAAATTTAAATAAAAAATCTTTTAAATCTATATCAAATATATATCCAATAATAATATTCTCTTCTAATTCTAAAAAATTATAAAATTTATATTAATATTTTATACAAAAAATAAGATTATTAATTCTATATTATAATATTATATATAAAATATTATATATATTAACAATCTTTTGAATACTTTGTTTTTTTTTCTTTCTAAATAGCTTTAATAGTAAGGAGTATATAAACTTCTTAATTATTCGAATTTATGATAGCTTATTAATAAAACACATATTGAAAAAGAAAGATATAAATTGAGATGAAAGTAGACCACATACTAATATGAGCTACATACTGATAAACTACATTATTAATATTTATAATATATTTGTTTACTAATTTCTCTTTTGTTTATTATACAAATTATTTGGTATAACTATTATAATATTAATTAATCTAAAAAATATATCACAAAATTTATTGTTTTGTATAACAATATATAATTGAATATAGTATTTCTTCGAAATGTCTATTTCTATAATTATTAAATAATCTTTTATTTAATTAATATATAAACTCTAGAATACTGATTTAGGCAATTTTATTACTCGATCAGGATATATAAAGTAGATATGATTCTTATGATCATATTTCAAGTGAATCTAGTTTATTATCACTATATATACCTATTATATAATCAAAGTGACCAATCGATATAGCTATCCCTTCGTGATATAATTAAAAATCTATATATATAAAAATAATTAATAAAATTCCAAAAGATTATAAAAATTATTATATAGAATTATGAAATGTTTAATAATAAAACATATTGTTATAATAAATTTTAAAAATTATTTAATAATAAACTAAAAATATAAATTATTTATAGAATATATTCTTTTAGTTTAATTAATTATTCTAAATATATTAAGATTATTAATATTATCTCTCAGATTTAGTAATAATTAAATATATATTAAAAAATCAATATATATATAAGTATATATATTATATATTTATATTAAATTATTGAAATTAGCTTTATTAGAATTTTTAAGGTTTTTTCTAATTCTATTTTGAATATAATTTAATATATCAATTGATTATATTATATCTTTTTTTAAAAATAAATATTATAACTTAATATATAAACATATTCTTATAATAATATATAAATTAATAAAAATATATTATTTTATTAATATAGAGATTTTGATTATAAAAAAACTAATTAATATATTTATTAATTGAATATATATTCTATATAATATATTAAATGATATTATCTTGAATTTAAATATATAATTTATATTAGGATTTTAGATATAATTATTAAAAAGATTAATAATAAATTTTGAGTACTTTTTAGCTTTTTACTTACAAATAAATAAATAAATAGAATATATTAATTTAATTTTCAAATAATATTTATATATTTTCATTAATTTCTATTAAAATAATTCAATAGAATAATTATTATTAATAGAATTTATTTTTAATAATATAATTTCGAAAATTATAGAAAATCTTTTATTTTGTATTAATTAAAATTTGAATTTATATATTAATATTAAATTAAGCATACTTTATTTATTAAAAATGATATTAATTTAAAAATATAATTTCTTTAAAGGTAATAAAACGGTTAATAGAATGAAGAGAATTCTGAATTAATTCCAAGTATTTATTAAATAAGTTATAAATATATATAAGAAATATATAAATTATTAATAAATTGATTTATTATAATATTATATAGAATAAAATATATTTGTTAATATAAAGAATATGAAAATCTCTTAAAAAATAAAGAAATTGGATAATAAATAAATTAAATCTTATAAAATTATTAAAATCTATTCATATTCTTATTTTGTATAATTATTAAAGAATATATAAATCTTCTTTATCTTTTATTATTTTTTATTTTTATTAATATATAATAATAAATGATTTCTAATATAATCTTAAATCAATAAAATAAAAGCTATTATTATATAAAATAAAGTTTTTGAAAGAAAAAATAATAAAAAGAAATTAATTTAGAAATAGATATTCAAAGGTATTTTAAATAATTATAATAAAAATAGATATTATTATTTACTTAAATAAAGATATTATACCTTAATTTAATAATTAATCTTAGATCTTAAAAATAATAAAAAGATTATAGCTTATTATTATTATTTATATTCAAAAAAGCTAAATTTATTAAAATAAATATTAAAAAATCTAAAGGCTAAAATAATTTTAATTTTTATATAAAAAGTTATAGAAAAATTTGAAGAATTTAGATATTTATTATAATAAAGGAAAATATAATTTATTTAATATATTTTCTCTTTTATTTTATTATTTCATTTTAATTTATTTGGGATAAGTAAGTTTTAAAAAGGGGAATATTATTACAAATTTATTAATATAATAGATACTTAATTATCTTTATTTATATAATACTACCTTTAATCTCCTTATAGAATATCATATATCTAATCTAGTATCTATCTCTTACATCGTGATAAATAGGAATTTTTATTTGAGCCTGATTAAAACTCAAAATTGAGATTTCAAATTCAAAAAATTTATCACGATTTTATTAATCAGAATAAACTCTAATGAATATAAAATTAAGATTAATTATATTGAACTATTGAATCAATAGAGAAAAGATTTATTGAATCTATTAATTAATTAGAGGGAGAGCTCTTAAATGAGTCAATATGATTAGTCAGCTACTATACTAACGACATTCAACAAATCACAGTAAGCTATCAAAAGCATTTTCTTTAGTATAGAATCAAGATACTCAAGATTTTTTTGTAATAACGAAGTATTTACTTCATTAATTATAGATCTTATGATTATAACACCTCTCTCAATCCAAACAAGATAAAACAAAGCCCTTAGATAATATCAAATAGAAAACTATAATTCAATAATTTGAATTATAATTCACTTTTAATTAATTTATATTATAATAATATAAAGACTTGAACTCTCCCTTTTATATTCTATTAATAAAAAGATAATTTAAATAATAAAAAATAATATAAATTCAAATATATAATTATAACAAAAATATATACCCTTATTTTAAATAACCAATCTGAAAAATAAGAAATCTAGTATTTATATTTGATTCTTCAATACTTATTTTTCTTCTGCTGCGGCAACTCCTAGAACTAATCCTCCGTCCGGGTTATCAGCCTTCTTGCCTTCCGGAGGTTCCCCTACCTCGGTTTCCTTCAGAACCTTCTTAGCCTCATCCAGGGTTACCTTAACCACGGGTTGGGGCTTAGAGTTAAGCTTCTCAACATTCAGATCCTTCCCTTGGGCGAGCTAGCTAGGGTCAATAAATTTCTCCCTCATTTCAGCAAAGCACTTTTTCATATCTTCCCTAAATGAATCCGTAAGCTTAACCGTGGGGACCCAGAGGCTAAGTTCATTCCAGAACGCCTCCTCATCTTTGAACGCGGTCCAAGTTAGGGAGAATGCGATAGTCATAAAAGGACCTGGGCCAGGAATGAACCCAATAGCAAACACCATTGCGTTCTTGGTGAAATTTTCTATCCAAAAGGTTTTTTCGACAGACTTCCACATTAAGTCAATCCCATTATGAGCTTTCTGGATAGCTAGCCAACTAATATCACAGAATCACTGTAAGACTTGTTCACTGGAACCGTCTCGATCCAGTTGTCGGGAATGATTCTAATGAGCTTTCCTGAGTAAGGGTCAACTTTACGGAATTGACGTGGAATAGAGAGCAACTCCACAAGCCTGGTGAACTCTAGTGCAAGGAGCCGATCCTTTTTTAGGCCGAAACGTGTCGACTTGTCGGTCTTATACTGCTCGACTCATAATTCCGAAAGCGATTACCACTCGTGCAGAGATTGTGTTGAACTCGTCTCTTGATGTCACTCCCCCCTGCACCATAGCTAACAGGAAGATGTGTCCAGTTACCGTAGTGTGTGTCCCAAAAATCCCCTTGTGAGACTTTGTATCCGGAGCGGCGATGTGTGTGACCTAGGCCAGGCCCAAGCACAGGCACCTCCATTCCGAGGAAGGACTTGTAGCTGACTGAGATTGAGTTCGCATTTTTGCTACCATGGTATGCTTCGCGGTTCCACACGTATTCGATCATGAAGTGAGAATAGAATTGTTTCTCGTCGTCAACACGGTAGCCATTCTTCGAATTTTGCGCAAGAACCTTTCGGTCAGAGAAGACTTCTCCTTCTGGGTATAGTATAGCCATCTTTGTAACCTTGCAGGTTAGAATTTGAGTGAAAAGATTGGTAAGGCTCTAAGTATCAACGAAATGCTGTCTATATGATGGAAAATGCTTGAACACAGCGGTCACTCTTATAGTTTCCAAGTGGTGAGAGGCCGTGAAGGCCAGCGAGCCCATAGCAATCACCTATCCCTACATCTGATGACATCGAAATATCTAGCGATCTGCGATATCGCCTGGGTCAGAAAGCCAGCAGGTAGAATCAGCTGGTGCAGCGAGAGGGATAGAACTGCTTGATGAGCTAATTGCTATAGCGGGCTACGTAATACAGTTAGTACGGCATGTAATGTGCCGCACTTGGTGAGGGAATGGTACAAGCTGAATCGAGAGTGGAATATAGAAAAGGCTTATAGTTTAGGAGCGCAGAAGAAAGAGCTAGGGGAGTGCAACTAATCATATAGTTTTATATCCAAGAATTGTTATAATTGCGCCAAGAGTTAATTTGTTATTGACAAGGATTGGGCTTGATTGCAATACGATCGCTTATATGTACAATCATTTGCACATAGTTAATAATATAAGTGAACAATTCACAAATTTATATGGAATAATTTGTATTGGTTTTATATACAAAAAAAAGTCTATGGTTATGTTTTTACTGATTAAACGCGCCCAGAATAAGAGATAGGAATCTGCATATCAAGGTTCCCTAGTAATAGGTAGATATAGGCCTAACTCATACCAATAAAGTACTTGTATCATGCCCAAAAAGCTTCACAGCATTATCATAGGCAAGTTTGTTTCGCATGGATTCATCTAATTGACCAAGGATCTGTCGAGTGAATGAATCATCTGTCCAAGGATAGTCTGAGCCTGTGAGTAAATGGTCCACCCCAACAATCGAAGCGGCATGGAGGATATCAGACACTTCTGCATTATTACAGTCGTAATGAATCATTTTCAGATAGTGGTCGATGGGATGAGGAAGTATCTGTTTGTTGCCCTCCAGATTTGTGTACCACTGATCGCCTGGGAATCGGTTCGACAAGGTTTTGAACCGTCCGAGACTTGTTAGAATACCACCACCGAGATGTGTAGCAATGATAACGAGTTTTGGATACTTTTGGAGGGTCCCTGCCATGACTAAGTCGAGAAGTGTCGTTCTCTGATCATTCAGGAATCCAGAGAAGGTCGGAATGTTCTTGCGACGAATAAAGTCTCCATCGACAGGATCGACTGCGGGATGAATAATAATAGGAACTGCTAGCTCTTCAGCCAAGGCAACATATGGATCATATGCAGAATCTCCCAAGAATACTCCATCATAATTGGAAGCGAAGAGGATTCCCTTCAATCCTAATGTTGTAATAGCATAACGTAATCCGTTTGTGCCCTCTTTGGCGAACGATTGCCCGTTTGGTGAGAGGCCTGCCTTGGCGAGGAAAGGGGGCGAAGGAATAGATGCAGTGCCAATCAATCGAGGATTACCTGCAGTCTTCGAAGACATCCACATGTTCAGATCATCGACAATCTTCAGCATTGACTGAGCTGGTAAAGTCGGAAAGAATGTATTAATGGTAACAACTTGTTTGCCCTCTCGACCAAGGGCCCTGCGTCGTTCACTTCCACACAGATCATCCGCCAATTTCTTTCATATATCGTTTGTGATGGTTTCTATCGTTGAATCTGCCAAGCCAACACTGGCTCGTACGCCGAAGGTTACTACATCGTAAGAACTAGGCTTGATAGCATGAGCCTGCACATCGAAAATAGGGCCACTGTACGGTCTACTCGTGCTGTCGACCATGATCCTCTTGTTTATAAATGCTGCAAATAAATTGAATAAAAGTAATGTTATCGAGGCTGAGGGAATCTTAATTCACGGCCATTCACAGTGCCAAGCCTAGCTTTATATAATTCACTGTTTCGGTAAATTTAAATGCTGCTCGCTCTCCGGATAGCGAGTGGAATACTCAAAATCCCGAAATCCGAAACCCAATTCTCTCTGTCCAGGAAAATGCCGCATTATACGACGGAAGCTGTTGAATTGTTCTAGTCAGATTCAGGTGATACAATTACTTCCTTGGATTCTTTGATATGGAATCTATAAACTGAACGGAAAATGCTAGGAACGTATTATAATGTACATAAAGCAATTCATTATCGACCGGACTTTATTACCAAGTAAGTCATGTTCATTTCAATTCACATTTTCAAGTATAATAATTGAATCATTTGATGTGCGCGAAAAACAGGTGTTGGTCACATGATTAACCTGTGTTCAGTATTTATCCCCTAAGGTGCCAACAAATGGCGCCATCGCTTAATTGGTCAATACTGATCAATCAGAATGTTGAGATTTCTCGAAATCTCGATGTTTTAGGGTCTTATTTTATAATAACTATTAAAACATTTATTATTATTATATAAATAAATATTGTATTTTTGATATCCCTATTTACTTTTATATTTATTATCTTTTAATTTAAAATTATTAAATATTTCCTTTAATATAATTTTTTTTATATCAAAAAACTAATCCTTATATATACAATAATCTCTTTTCTTCCCCAAATTCATTAAATAATAATCTTTTAGTAAGCTAGAACCCTTAATTGGAATCTCTAGATTATATTTTAGATCTCTATATTGACATTTAGATTCAAATTCAGTAATCAACCCTTGAGAAATTAATTTTCGAAAATCATTATACTCAAGAGATTTCATTATATTATACTTTAAAGCAATCTTCTTATAAATCAAGTAGCAATTGATTAAAACAATGATTAATAATTATTATTCTATTACTTAATGATTTCCACAATATTAACATTGATATTCTAATATTAACAAATATAATTGATCCTTTATATCAATAGAATTCATATTGAAATTATAGTTATTATAAAGTTTTGGGATAGATAATATTTTTTCCTATTTATTTTCAAATAATATTCTAATTATTTTAGTTTTTGAAGAAATAGATTATAATTATTTATATAGTTTTCGAATAAAATCTTTGTTATTATATATTATAGATTATATTAAAACTAATGTATTATCTTTCCATACTATCTGATATACATTATTTAAAAAAAAAACCCTAGAAAACACTATTTTCTATAATATATCATTCTTTTTTATATCTCGAATCTTTAAATCAATTAGATCTCGATAAATTCCTGAATTTGTTTTATATGTTTTTGTTATAGTGTACCCTAGATAATGCATATATTCTAATAAGTTGTAAGAAACAAATAAATTATTAAAATAGATATAATATAAAGCTTTAGATAATTTTTATATTAAATATATAATCACTGTTTGTATTTTATTTAAAGATTTCTTTTTATTTGTTAATCCTAAAAGAAAGGGAATTGAAACTTTTATAGAATCATTCTTTTTCCCTAGTTTATGTCAATTCCATATTATGAAAAACCCTCGATCTATAACAACTCATATTTTAAAGCTAGTAGATATAGGTTTATTTTTAATAGTTGTAATATATGTTGATTAGCCGGTGTAGTATATAATATATTCATTTATTATAATTCGACTTTAAAACTATTAAATTGAGAAATTAATCTTTTAAATATAATTTAATAAAGAATCTATTTATAAAGAATTATATTAATATATTAATTTTAAATAGAAAAGTTGATATTTTACTTTTTTATAAATATCTTTTGTTTTAGAAGATATAATACAATATTGTATATAAAGCTTTTGGAATCTATTCCTTAATATGAAATATATAAAAGAATATATAATAGTATTTTTATTATATTTTCAATAAGTTTTAATCTTATATTCAGGGTGAATAGATATATATATATATATGCCTAAATATAAATAAATTTTGTCTATTATTATAGAATATTACGAAAATACTCGCGAATTCGAAAGTTCTTTATTTTCTAATATTTATATATATAAATTTATTTATTTTATAATCAATTCCATTATCTTAATAGAAAAATAGAAATAAAATAAAATGAATATATTATAATCTCAAGTATTGATTTATAAAATGAATTCTTAATCGAAATTCATATAATTTATAGATTTGAAATAAATCCTTATTTTTGAAATAAAAAGGAATATTTGAGTGTAATATCCTTATATCAATAGAATCAAATTATATATTATCTGGAGGTATATTAATGGAATTGTTGTGTATAGTGTATTTATTGATTTCTGTATTATCAATATTATTCACGAAGTTATTAATGTTTTTCCTCAACGCACAGGCCACAATTGGCGCCATTTGTTGGTACCTTAGGGGATAGGTCTTCTTTATATCCCCTGAGATCTCAACTGAGGATATCGTAAGTAGTTAATATACTCTCACGATCATTAACAGGTAAGTAAATGAAGGTCTATATAGAAATAGACATCGAAATGACTTTTAAGAGCTAAAGAACTACCTAGGCTATTCGTAGGAGAAAAAAGAGGCGGAATTTGATCATTTATATAATGTCTTTACAACTCAATTGTATCTCTTGAATATTATATAAAATAAAGCTTTTAGACATTATTTAAGTAACAAGAAGCTAAATTTTCTTTAATTTAAGCTGAATTTATATAAATCATTTGTAGTTGACTTTTAATCCAATTGACTCGAAAGATTTCAATAAAGATTTGAATGATCAAATCCCGCCTGTTTTTTCTCCTACGAATAGCTAGGTACTCCAAGTTATTTCAGTGCGCACAGACTACTTCCATAGCCGGTTAGTCCTTGCCAACGATTAGCTAATCATGCTGCCCAGACCGCTGGTGGACCACCAGACAACACTTTGTCTTGGGCTCCCCACATCTTTACCATCATCACCACCATCGCAGACCACTCGCCATCAACATCATTTCTTATTCTATTCCGGCCGACTCCAAAGTAGTTCCAAGGTACCTTCCGTGACAGCAGGTAACCGTGTACCGCTTGCCTACCGTCCACTACACTCCCGACGACCAGTGTCTCGCGGCCAGCACCAACTTTTGACAGGCTTCTACCCGTCGCTCTGCGGACGACGGAAGACCCTGGGTGCTGGTGCATCTTGCAGCATTGGAGCTCGTCATATAGAGTGTATTGTGGCTAGGCTGGGCGTGCAGGAATGAAAGCGACCGAGGCCTCAATCCCATAACCGTTTGGTTAATCTCCAAACAAAGCCGATTACCATCACTTAGCCCAGCTCTATCGCAAGACGGGACCGTCTTGACGTGTTTTCCGCGCCCAGGTTTGTTGTAAGTAGCCGTTAGAACTGACAGTTGATAGTACAAGAAATTGGTCACTATGATTGCCAGTACTGCAGAATGTTCCTCTCCCACCGATCCCGCGTCCTCACCCTCCCCTCGATCGATTACGTTTGGCCCCACGATGAATCCGGATACGCCTAGGCTCAGCCCAGATCTCGAAATCGAACAGGAAAGCCAGACCGCGCAAACCCCTGACGAAGCACGCCTCAATCGATCGCCAATGCGAGACGAAGACATCGAGACTGCGTCTCACAGTACTCGTGCTTCCCCTTCTCTGTCGCCTAAAAGTAGCAGCTCTGGTGCGCCCTCTCTGGGACACATCGAACCAACATGGCCTAAAAAAATCGACGTGACCAAGATATCTGCTCTTGCGTCGTGGGGGAAAGGGCAGCGCTTGCCTGGCTTGCTCTTCGACTTTCACTGGGTGCTGTCTTCCAACAAGGCCTTCTTCACATTGCGCGCCTCTGTCCAGCTCAAGCAGGCACCTGGTCCGCGACGCGATGGCAGAACCAACATCTTCATCCATATCTACCCTGAACGCATTCAGCAGCTGTCTTTTGAAGCAGAGCCCGTAGACAAGATAATGGGAAATGATACTGTAGCATTCGTATTTACGCTGTCTAGGCCGCCAGCCCTGGTGCTGCCACCTACGCCACTTGAACCCAGGAATAAAGCATCAGGGTCTATCATCACCTCCTTTTTTCATTTGGCTAGACAGATGTCGTGGACCGTGTACGCTGCCGTACCGCCACGGACTCTGTCTGCTGCACGGATACGACAGTTCTGCGAAGCTGTCTCCGAGCCGTTAGCTGGTAGCATCGTTGCGTTTGCGAGTGCAGCTACATTGTACCAGGGCCAAGGGGGCAAGATAATCGAAGGAGACAGCCTGGAATCTAGCACCGCGGTCGACGCCGATGATACTGGCAGTGAAGTGCACGATGATCCTCCAGAATACGAAGCGTCAGGCTCTGCCCCTGTCTACCTTGACCTCGACAAAGGCAAAAAGCGTCTTCGTCAAGGCAGCAGTCCGGAGATATGCCAAGAGCAGAAATCGCGACGCCTAGCCGACACAGAGGATCCTCTGCAGTCGCGCCTGTCAGCCCTTGAACAGCGTTTCGATGATGCACTTGCGGCCCACAAGAAGGAAATGGTGGAACTCGTTGGGCAGGCCGAGTCACGAATAATGGACACGCTCCGTAGAGAGATGGACGAACAGTCGGCTGATTTCGAGGAGTCGTTGGACAGGAGGGTCAAGGAGGAGATAGCAGAGCTAGAAGAAACGGTAATGCAGAACATTAGCGAGGCGCCACTACAGGCCACTCTGACCTTTCCTGCACATCCTTGGTACTGAACCATTCCCCATCTTCTGGGCCCATCCTCTCTTGGGCAGACTTGTAGCACTATTGAAAGGATCAAGTCCAGGTTAGACGAATGGCCAATTTGTATAGAAGCAAATTGGTCCAAACCGTTGAGCACTAGATTGCTAGAGGAACAATCAATCTTGAGAACTGAACGAGACTAATTGTTACGTCGTCGGTATGCTAGCCACGCGGATGTGGTAGAAGGACACTGGGGCTATATATTAAAGCAGTCAAGCAGAGATTGCATCATTGATTCGTACCTAGTATTAACTAAGGGATTAAATTACTATATTGAGTTGTATACGAAGCTCCATATATAAAGGAAATATATTCTTACTTTTATAGACCTTAGTATTATAATTAGTATTTTTTCGTATTTTGAAAACGCCTCACTTTAGTGGTATGTATCAAATTCCTTGAATATGTTTCAAAACAGTTTTTTCATTAAGTATCTTTCCTATTATCATATTAAAAGTAAAGATATCTCAACTTTGCTTTATTATCTAATCTCTACATACAGATTTACTACTACTAAATAGTGGCCACCCTTTGAGCCTAAGATCCTCAGGCATCTGTATGAGCTAGAGTTATAATAGCCAGAATGGTTAGTTATATATCATAAAAGTCACTTCACTTCGATAGAAGTGGCGTCACATTTGGTGGGTTAGGGATAACGAACAAACTGCACAGACAACGAACACCTGTTACGGACAATGACGTCGAAGCACATTTGAGCCACCACAGTGACCCTTGTGGAAGATAGCGAGGTAACCAAAACATCGCTGGAGGTCGTTGAGCTTATCATTAAAATACAGCTCGAGACACGAGTGCCGCGAGACAATTCTGGTCAACTATTTAGTGAAAGTTGTTCAGCAAGTGGTGCAAGGTAACTTGATTTGATACAAGCAAGTTTGATTGAAAAGCTACAAAAAAATAGGAGCCATCTCTCCATGTTGTGAAATAGATGTCAATCGATCATAAGTGAAGGCATCCGGAGATCCTCCGAATCCTCTGGATCTCTGTGCTCCGCAGGAGGATCCGATGCATGATTCACGATTAGTGTCCCACTCTAGAATATCTTTTTTTCTCAATTTTTGCCACTGTTTGAAGGATACAACCCCTCTGTTTTTCATATAAAGTGTAAAGAAGTAGAAGCAAATAGGGATCCAGTTTTTTTCGTCAAAATGAATAACCATTGGTCCGAACATTCCATTTTTTGCATCTCATTTACTTATACCCCTCAGTTTCCAGCTCTTTGACCCAAACAGGTTCCTTTCAATGAATCCGCCCTAGCTCAAACATTGGGAATAATACGTATTGGAAATTTGACAAGTTCCCTGTGCGCAGCAAGTTATGCCTGTCCATCCAGAACCGCCACATTGACCATAGAGCGCTTGACAAGATCCAGAGGGACTGCTAGAGGTAGTTTTAGAAGGCGAAGAGGTTTTAGTCGTAGGCCCAGAACTAGTAGTTAGAAGATTTCCAGCTCCAGCTGTTGACTATGTGCTACCATTGTCAAAGCGCCACCAGTTGAAGTTAAGCAAGAAGCCAGTACCGCTACCTGCAAAGACAAAGTACAAATCTTGGGTTCCTGTGGCTCCACTTATCGGACAAGTCACAGTCTTCCATGTCTGCCAGCTGCCAGTGCCTGATACAGTGCAAGTTCCAACAAGAGTGCCCGAAGTGCTCCCTAGGCGCACTTGAATTGTACCTCCGTTGGTGGCGGAAGAAACGCGAGCAGAGAAAGACTTAGCCCCGGTACCGAAGGCAACACCCTTAACCTTGATATAGTCGCCGTTATTAATACTACTAACGTCCATGCCGCCTTCACTGCAGACCTCCGTCTCTACACCCTGGGACCAAACTGCTGTCTCTGCCTCCTGCTGCACAAAAGGATTCAAAGTGCCAATCTGCGGGGGCCCAGCTGTTGTCATCTTAGTTGTAGGAATAGTACCATCAGAGTTGTAGACAAATTTTTCAACGCGTGCTGACCTCTGGTAACCTCCTCCGCCAGGCAAGGCACCATTGTGGTAGAAAAAGTATGAGTTACCCTTGTAATCAATGATGCCTTCGTGATTTGTAAAGCTTGAGCCGGCACTTGCCATGATAACTCCTCTGTATGTCCAGGGCCCTGTGGCACTAGGGGCAGTGGAATATCGGATGTCTTCGGAACAGCAATTTGCTGCGTAAGCCAGATAATAGGTGCCGTTGCGCTTGTAAAGCCTGGTAAATGAGAGATTATTATTAGTGCACCATTTTCGAGAATTTTGGAAGAATCAAAAGATTGGGACATAAAGTCGTGGGTTGCAGACGCGTATTGGTTAAGGATATTGATGGGAGAAGGATGGTCTTCGGAAAAAAATGACTTACCAAGGTGCTTCTTCAAATGATGTCGCTCGCGACGTACTGCTACCAGTTCTTGGCCCAAAGCCAGCAACTGTGAGCAAAGTCTTCATTATACTTCCACTGTATGAGATCATATCCTGGTTCAACTTGACGTAGTACAGGTCTGGATTTCCCCAGTACAAATAAACTTGACCATCATCATCGATGAAGACCGTCGGGTCTATCTCGTTATTCTCGACCAGAGGCTTTCCCAAGGCATCTTTATACGGGCCGGTGATGGTGGAACTTACGGCGACTCCCACGGCCATTGCACCGGTAGTGTGGCGCATTGGGGCGTACATATAGAACTTCCCATTACGGGCAACAACTTGCGGAGCCCATGCATTGGCGTTGGCCCAGCTGAAGGTGGCCAGACTGGCAGGAGATCCGTGATCCTGCCAGTTTGCCATGTCTCCTGTTGAGAAAAGACGCCATTCTGTCATCACGTAGGTCGTAGCGCCATCGTTGTCATGGTCGAGAAAGGCATAAACACGATCATTATAGACCATCGGTGCCGGATCTGCTGTGTAAATCGTCTGTACAAAGGGATTGTCAGCTCCAACAAGTCCAATTTTGCTCAAAAGAGGGCAGAGGAGTAGTGCAGCTGTTGCAACGCATTTCGCCTTCCATGAAATCGAACTCAACGATTGAGGCATTTTAGCGGCGCGTCAACTCCCTGAGATCCGACTGTGCTTAATGATAGTTTTGTAACTCGGAAAGATAAAAAAGCTTGCAGATACATCTGAAACTCGTAACAAAATTTCAGTGGCATAATATATCAGGGAGTTGAGATGAAGTATGAGCAGTTTATACGAGAGCTCCACTTTTGGGCATCATCAAATTATCCGCCGCTCCACTTTTCCTGATCTTCTCCATCCATATTAGTCTATTCGCGTCCTTAATCATTGGTTCCATACGGGGAAAAGTATGGTCATCTGAAAAATGCCTCTTGCAGACACTCAGTATCCTTCCTCAATAGGAACTATGACATAAGATTTGGCACTCTTGTGTCTCCATTAGATTGAACTAACCGCCTTCATTCCTTTCTCGGCTGGAACCTAAGGAATCTTCTGCTGATCTTGGTACTGATGATGGTTAAATGTTGGAGTTAAATTAACCTTAAATTAACCTTAAATTAACCTTAATCAATCTCACTTTTAAATATCCTAGCGAGTTACCCCGCGTTGACATTAAGCCTCAACAGTAAGATTATACGCCCCAATCATGGCCCAATTTACTGACTGCCGGTGGCAGTATTTATCTTTTTGGTATGGGGACGAGAAGCACCAAGGTTCATCTTTAATCTACTAGTATCCGCGCCGATGATGTTCGACTTTAGGTCCCAACTTCCAACTAATGACAGTCTTTCTCCTCAAAGAACAAGAGATCTCAATATCTGATTTACCTATCCTGTCTGGTAAGCTGCAAAATCTACAGCTTTACGTTCGGACAACGAATAGAGCAGCAAACTCTAAAATGTGGAGCATATAGTATTCCGGGGAATACCTCGAGCGAAGTGGTTGTACGGCTATATTCAAGAATGGTCCCAAGTGATCTAAATTAGTAGACTCAAAGGTAAAATAATATCATATAATGGCCACATTCGTGGTGCATAAAACGATTGATTTGGCAGTTTACTCCATTCTACAACTTCTTACTCCATTCCACAACTTCTTACATTATTCTAAAAGATGCGTTTTCAATTATTCCCCGCCTTCATTGTAAGCTTCCTTGGTTCTACCGTGGATAGTCGCAATTTGGAAGTGCGTACCAGCAATGGCCTTGGTCGTACTCCTGCTATGGGTTGGAACAGCTGGGTAATTCCCCATTTTCACTATTCCGTACCCAGACTCACAATTACTGATTCATCCACAGAATGCCTTTGGATGCAATGGTGCTTCAGCTTCCTCGGCAATGACTGCAGCGAACCAGTTTGTAAACCTGGGGCTCAAAAAGCTTGGCTACATATACGTGAATATAGATGACTGCTGGAACACCAAGTCCCGCAACTGCTCCGGCAACCTTGTCGCTGATCCCAATAAATGGCCTAACGGTATAACATACACCGTCAATCAGATTCATGGTATGGGGCTTAAGTTTGGATTATATGGTGATGCGGGTACCATGACGTGCGCAGGATATCCAGGCTCCCAGGGACATGAGCAGCAAGATGCTACTTTACTAGGAAGCTGGGGGGTCGATTACGTAAGAATAACCTGCTTTACTCTCCTGTTCTCCAATTTCCTTCGAAGGTGTTGAAGCTAAATATCACTCTTTCAGTGGAAATATGACAACTGCTACACACCCTGCAACGGACAAGTTCCACAAACATGCTGGATTGCACGAAACTCGGAAGCTTGGTACCAGACATTCGGTAATGCCTTGAAATCCGTGTCTCATCCCATACTATACTCCTTATGCTCTTGAGGAGTGGACAGTGTATGGACCTGGGGCGGATCGGTTGGGAATTCCTGGAGAGTCACTGGTGATATTCAAAACACCTGGTCCTCCGTCTCATCGATTGCCAACACTGCGGCAGGGATCTCGAAATATTCCGGTCCTGGTGGGTTTAATGACTTGGATATGTTGGTAAGTCAAGCTGCCTAGCTTAAAGACATTCCCTGTTACGGCTTCTCAGATTGACTGAGCATAGGAAATTGGCAATGGTGGTCTCTCCGAAGCCGAAGAACGAGCACATTTTGGTCTTTGGGCAATCGCTAAGTCTCCATTGATTATTGGTACGAATCTCGCCAGCATAAAGTTTTCTTCCCTAGCTATCATCAAAAACACAGTAAGTTTTTCTTCAGTGGTGTCTACTTTCCACGTCTAACGAGATCAGGGTATAATTTCCATCAATCAAGACTCTCTTGGAAAAGCAGCTACCTATTTCACTCCATCGGGTCAGGCGGGGCCGAAATCTGGACAGCTATATCCCTACTGGGCTGGGCCACTCTCCGATGGTGTCGTGGTTGGTATCGTAGCTGCAAATGGTGCGCTCAACTATAACGTTGCACTTAGCAGTGTTCCTGGATTAGGCTCTGGCACATGGAGCTGGACAGAGTTCTACAGCGGTAAGACGGGATCAGGAACTGGCATATCTGGATCTTTAGCAAGCCATGATATGGCTGTTTACAAGATAACCAAAACTAGTGGTAGCTGAACGACAACTTCGGTTCAGTGTAGACAATAGTATACTACAGTGAAACTGTGGCGCGTATTAGCATATTGATATTGCAGCTAATATACATAGAAAGGAGGTTATATCACTCTCATATATATTTAGTTATTCAATAATATTAATAACATATTAAAATACTGGAATCTAATATGATATTTTTATTCCTATTCAAATTAAATAATAAAATTCTATTTCTATATAAATTAAATCAAAAATAAGAGATTTTATTATCTAATTTGAATAGAAATAAAGATATTGTAATAAATTCCAGTATTTCAGTATATTACTAATAATATTGAATAATTAAATGATAACGTGATTTATCATCGAGTAGACTATATCATCAAGTAAATCACTTTTATCTTCATAAATATAATCAACTTCAATATACGATTTATTAATCATTTATTATATAATCTAATAATAAAGAAGTATATTTGCTTTTAGTTATTAAAACTATTAAAAACAATAAAAAACTAAATCTTTGAATGGTTTTTTAATTATATAATATTTCTTGTACAATTTTTATTTATAAAATAAATAATTTGATTTCATATATCAAAACTCAAGTAAATCGATATAAATTTAAAAAATTTAAAAAAAAAATTATTATTCAATATATTTTTGATATAAATTTAAAAGATTTTTTATTTAAATTCAAAAAAATAAAAGATATAATAAATCATATTCTTAAATTAAAGGATACAAGATATATTAAGAAACTTTGGGTATATTAACTTATAAAATATTAAGTTAAATTAAAAATATATTTTAATTATATTTATAATTTTCAAAAAGCTTTTTATAAAGATTCTTAACTTATTAAAGACTGATTTCAATTAATTGTAAATATATAAATGAAATATAGTATTTTAAATAGTAATTTTTATAATTTTGATAAAATAGGCTTTATAATCAATATAATATACCCCAAAATAATTATAATTAGTATTAAAAGATATAACAAAAATAAATCAATATAATCAAATAATTGAAAATAGACTATAATAATAATTTATAGGAATAAGAAGAATAAAACTATTCTCTTATTTCTAGTAATTCAAGAATAAATTCATTTTTCCAATTAATATATCAAAATGAATCTTTTTATAAAATAAATTATTAAATCTATATTTAAATAAATAAACAGACAATAAAATAGATTTAAAATAATTAAAATATTTTAATAAATATATTAAAAATCAAGAAAAAAGTGAATATCGAATATTGATATTAAACAAATATAAAAACTATAGATTAATATTATTTTAAAATTATTATAAAAAGAATAATATTAAATATATATATTTATTATTATATTTAAATTGTTTTAATAATCTAAAATATTTATATAATATTTAAATTAATAGATTTATTAAGGTATATATTAATTATATTTTGAAAATTGAATTCTTTATAGTTTTCAAAACTATATATCAAAAATCAATTATAATTCAGAATATAAAATTAAGATTTCAAGGAATAAATTTAATATCTTTTGATTTTGAAGTTACATTTTTGAAACTAAATATTCGGATTTGTATATCTATTTTTTCCTTTTTCGATTAAGATTTACAAATTTCTTAAATCTTTTATAATTCAATTGAAGTTTTTTTATAATCAATTTTAATAAAATTTCGAATAATTTGTTATTAATTAAGCTTTTTTATATTTATATTCGAAACTATATTAATTTTAATTAGGGATATAGAGAAATTAGCTTATAAAAATATATTTTTGAATATAAAGATTTGTATATTTTGAAAAGCAAATAAAATATTAAATAAATATTGATATATAAAAAAAACTTAATTATATTAAAAAGGAATATTTACTGAATAAAAGACTCTTAATATATTATTTCGATAAAAAATTGATATTTAGATTTAATATAATAAGTATTAGAAAGGAAGGAATTCTAATAAGAAAATATTTTTTAATTGATATTATAATAAATATAAAAAGACCGAATATAATATAAGAATTTATCAAAATAATATAATAAATCCTAGATTATTAGAATCTTAAAAGTTTTAATTAATTGATTTAATAATTATAGAAAAATATAGGTTTGAAAGTGTATATTGGGGTGAAAGTAGGCTGTATAGTGATACAGGCTGCACACTAATAAAACACGTTATAACAATATAAATACTTTTATTAAACACTAATATATAAATACTATAACAAACAATATTTAATTAATTAAAAACAAATTTATATAATAAGATCTAATATATATTGATTTTATTATAATAAATTATTCTAATTCAATAATAAATTTTATTATAAAAAGCTTCAATGAAACTGAAAATTTATAATTCGCAATTATTCATTTAATATAACATTAGTATTTCTTTATCATATTCATATTAAAAATCAAATCACAAAAAAAGGCGTTATATAATAATATATTATACAATTTAAGATATTATATAATCGAATAAATAATTATCAAATAAATACTAATAATAATAAAAAAGTTTTGAATATATATTATTTTTTTATTATAAATCAATTTAGGATTCCTAATAACTATTTATAGTATATTGATATATTTGGACTTGATAATATAATTAAATTGAAATCTGTTATAGGAATAAATAATCTTTTGCTTTTATTCAATTATTATTAAGTATATAATACTTCGATTTTCCTTATAAAACGATATTATATACAATTTGTATTCATTCTATTTATTCTTTTTGATATAGACTATCAGTTTATAAAACTAATTAATGTATAGAAGAAATCAAAAAAGATATCTAGTATCGAGGACATATCTAAAGGCGATGAGAGCGATAATAATCATAAAATGAAATTCGATAATAGCACTTTTAACAAGAACAATAATAATAATAGTAACAAAACTAAATGATATAATACACTATACTATAAGGATATTCATTTATTAGTAATATGAAATAGCAAAAACAATAAAAACTATATTCTTACTATAAAGATGATATTGACTTATTATAAAGAGTATAAAAGATATTCAAAACTATATGATGTATTCTATATAATTAAGATATTTGTATATTATTAATCAATATTTATAGTACAATATTCTTTTTTATTAAAATCGATAATCTAATCTTTTATTCTATTATTCATTTAATAATTTTAATACTTACAGATAATACATTCAAAGTATTAAGTTTATTAATTCTTAAACTAATCTTTAAGTATAAAATCCATAAACCTGTCTTTTATATACCTTTAAATTAGAAAATAGAAAAACCAAAGATTTCAAGATTTCATTAATATAAAACTATTAGTCCTGATAGTCTAACTATCTCTTTTCTATATTCTCAATTTATACATCTGCGAGCTTAGATTGTACTAAGCCGCACCTTTCAACTATATAAGCTCTAGTATCAGATACAGCTATAATTATTATCAATGGCATAAGCGCTATGGCAATTATCCCTATAAGAACGCTGATCGTAATTAATCCCTAATTTACTTATAATCAATTATTATTCTTATTTTTATTATTTAATTATAGTAATATAAATATTTATAATATAGAAATTATAAAAGCTATTATATTAAGTTTATGGATAATAAAAGGATTCTTTATTATAATTCAATTTAATATTTTTAATAAGCAAATATAATTCAAATAAAATATTTATAAAATATTCAAAATAATACTTTATTAATTTAAAATTAATAATATATTGGAGAAAATAACTTTTAATAAAGAAATATATAATATAATAATAAATAATATTAAAATTAGATTATTATAAATTATAATATAATTTATAACTGAAAATAAGAATAATAATAATTCAAATTATATTTATATAAATATTATAAAGACTCTGAAAAACTCAAGTATATTTATAAATGCAATTATATATATATAAGAACAAATTAATAAATAAAAATTAATTAAACCCCCAAAAATTAGAATGAATATTCATTTATTAATAATAGGAATTATTATATTAATAATAAATTACCTAAATATCTATATATTTAAAAAAACAATTAATAAGATTATTTGTAATTTAAAAGATATTAATATTATAGTTATTATTCTTATAATTATTAAATAAATAGTATATACTATTAATAATATTATATGTAATAAATTTCTTAAAATTGAAAATATAGAAAAAATCAAAAAAACTTGAAATTATAATAATCTAAAATAATCTATAATCTAATATTATTATATACTAGAGAAAATCCCAATTTCTTTTTATAATTCAAATAAAAATAGAATATTTATTATTAAAAAAATAATAGCTAAGAAAATATTAATATAAGTAGATATTTCTTTAATTAATTATTGAATTATTATTTGAATAATCAATTCTTATAAGTAAACCTGAATTATTAATCTACTAAAAAAAATCTCTTTCTTTAGGTTTTTTAATAGTTTTAAATGAACTTAATATATTAAGTTAAGGTAGTATATTATTTATTATGATATAGGGTATTAGGATTTCTATAATCTAATTATATATAAAAATATTTTAAGATATAATAATTATTATATTCTATAAACAAATTATAATAATCTATTTAAATCTAAATATAAGATTAAAATTGAATATATAAATTATATAGAATTATTCTTAGTTAAATATAATAATTATTCTATAATATTATATTAAATTAATAAAAAAGTTATATATTTTATAAAATTTGAGGCTTATAAGATTAAGAAATAAAGCTAAAAAACTTATTTAATAGTTAAAATATTAATTAATAAAATAGTTATTCTAATTATAACAATTTCTTAAAGTATTATAATAGAAATATTCTTTTCAATTTATAGGGAATATATTATTATATATAAAAATCTGAGTAGCTTTTAATATACCCTTTAGAATATCTTTTTGGTTAGTAGTTTGTCTAAGGACTCTTATCGTTCTAAAAGGAAGCATTTAAATGAGGGTAATCTGAATAAAA